CTTTAGCCTTCCGGCAGAGCAGAGTCCATGTCTGGCCATGCTCATCACCTTTTCACAATTTCTTAGGTCACACATGCACAGTTCTGATCTAAACAGAGGAGTGGGAGACTGAGCAGCTTAGACCAGAGAATGCCACCAGGAGGAGATGGATCAAGCCCATTTGTATTCAGTGGCTAAGAGCTCGGAAGCCAGCCATTCCCAGAGTTGTCAGCAGTAGGAGCAGGGAACAGCAGATTTAATTTAGAAGTCCAAGCTTATCAGACTCAGTACTCCTCTTTGGAGAAGTAGTAAAGAGCAATGCAGGGATTATAGAATAGTATCTACTATTTTTGGTACAAGCTATTGCAATTTACATAAAGCACTTTTTGATAAGACTTGGTAATTAACTTGCTTCCCCTTCTCACTGCTAAGGACACACAAGTTGGTCAGCAAAAAGAACTGCTGTTAAAACAACTCAAACCTCACAACTATACTCCTTGCCACCGAGGAAGGCAAGAAGCACACACCTGGGTTATTCCTTCCCTTTGACTGTCCACACATGGCTCAAACCACACAGTAGCTTCCTTATTGCGTCTACTACCTGGGAAACTGGAAACCCACGCTCTTGGCTTTCTTCACCACCTCCAGTTTTCCATTTCCAGTGCTTAGAAGTTTTGTTTGTGAGGGTCCAAATGTGGCAGAAACTATTACAGGCTTCTAAGCTGCAACAGCTGCAGAGGCCAAGGATGTTGGCTGAACAACTGACCAACCTTTCCAGGGAGAGATCTGAAGCAGAGAACTTGAAAAACACCTTCCAATCTGTCAGGAACATGGAAAAGGCTGCTGTCTCTCTTACAGTGGTCAGAAGCACAGAACCCCAGCACCTGGTTAGCCAGGCCCCATACTTGAAAACACAGAGGCCCGATTCTCCTATTTTTCTTTAGGAACAGAGTACCAGTCATCAGGAAGACCACAGGGCTCTAGGAAAATAAAGAGTACCGGGCTTTAGGGACCACCTTTGTACTACAGATTTACAGCATATGGACTTAAACCAGAACCAATGCTCACGGAGGCTCTCCTCCCCCAAATCAAGATACCAAGAAGCAGATTGTGACAATTTCTTCTAACAGCAAAAATAACTAGAGTGCTAAACAGAAACCTGAGACAAACTTGAGTTTTCTGAAATAAAAATGGGAAACCACCATGTAATAGTCTCTGTTATCTCCCTCAGGAGACAGGAAGATTGCTATTTAAAAATAAAAATCACATGGGCTGGTTTTCTTCTTGGGAGTATATGGCATTTGTCTCCAGTCTATGAAATGAACACTCCTACATTCTGGAAGACCTTTCTTTTGTCTGTTCTGCTGCCTTCATGGAGTTCCTTCAACCATTCGATTTCCACTTCTGAAGGCTTTCCCAAGAGTTACAAAAAGGTCATGAAATGACACCATCTCCCATTAGCTGCAAACTCTACTCCTTAAGCCTGTCCTGTCTAAAAGGCACAGCCCAATAGCTCAGCTGGATTCACCAGCAGGCTGAGCACATGATTCTTGTGATGTTGACATGTCAATACAACAGTCAGTGACAGTTTGGCATGCTTGTGTCCTTTCCATGTAGACCCACTGGCCAGGCAGTCTTGGAGTGCCATGCTACCTCAGACCTGCTGCAACAGCCCTGACAATTGTCAGCTGTGGACAATTCATGGGAGACAATGAAAAAAGACCAGATGTGCCAATGTTCTGGAGCTCATCAAAGAAACTGTTATTAACATGAGCAGCTAAATGGAGTCACTGAAGTTTTTATGTCCAAACCAGCAAACACTTGGAGTAGCATCAGTAAAAGACACAAGAAACTGCTAAGCATGCTAGAAGCAATGGAGAAAAGTGGTGTAACAAAATATGAACAATTCCATTTAAAAAATGATGTGGTTAGTTGGGTGGAGTGACCTGTATCTACCATCCTAGAACTTGGGAGGTGGAGGCAGAAGAAGAATCAGGTAGGTACTGAACATCATTCTTGGCTACATGTGATTTTGACACTAGTCCAGAATACAGATCTTGCTTTTTTGTTTTGTTTTCCAGACAGGGTTTCTCTGTGTAGACTTTGCTGTCCTAGAGCTCACTATGTAGATCAGGCTGGCCTTGAACTCAGAGATCTGCCTGCCTCTGCCTCCCAAGTGCTGGGATTAAAGGTGTGTGCCAAACTGCCCGGTTTAGGAGATTTCGTCTTCAAAAAGAAAACAAGTGGCACATGCCTTTGATCCCAGCAGTTGGGGGGCAGAGGCAGTCGGATCTCTCTGAGTTTGAGGCCAGCCTGGTATATAAAGAGTTCTAGGACAGCCAGGGCTACACAGAGAAACCCTATCTCAAAACAAACAAAACCAAGTTTATGGATTAGAGCAGCAGTCACCTCATCAGAGAAATTTCTTTGTGCAGTGGAAGGTGGTAAACACAGAAACCCATAACTGGCCAAAGTACAGAGAACAAATGCCTATAGCATGTTCAGCTACCAACAAGCCATAGTAACCTGAAAGAGTAGCAATTCCACATAGCCTCTGACTGAGACAGGGACTACCTGAGACTGTAGCCTAACAGTTCAGAAACCCAACCTGTTTTGGCTTGTCTACTGGCTCTAAGTGGTCTTGAGTAAAATCCTCAATCTGGTTGGGCCTTAATTTCCTCCTCCATTTGAAGATGGTATATTTAAGTGACTCTAGAGATTACAAGTGAAATATCACAGCAAAGTATGCAAAGAAAAAAGGGGCTCGGAGCCTTGATTTATTCACCAAGAATATGAAATAGGGAAGACTAAGTTCATACAGCATACTTGTCAAAGGCTAAAGGATGCAGTGTGCATGCGTGTGCAGGCCAGAGGGTAACTTTGGGTGTCGTTCCTCAGGTGCAGTCTACCTTAATTTTGAGACAGCATTTCCCACTGACCTTGAACTCCCAGAGTAGGTCAGGCCAGGTTGGCTGGCCAGCAAGCCCCAGCACTATCTGTCTGCACCTCTCTAACACTGGGATTACCTGCCTGGCAGCTGTTGCTTTCCTTTTGTAAATGTGCATTCCATGGACAAACTACAGAATGGCGAACTAGCCATTGGTCTCACAGCCTGTTTACTCCAGAATTTGTCAGAATCTAAGAGAAAGAGCGAATGAAACGAGAGTGAGCTTTAATACCACTGCCTGCTGGGCCCTCAGCGGACTGTTCCAACTTCACCTCCTTTGAGTCTAACATGATCATTCATTATGACGCGTGTTTATTATAAACTGTTTGGGAATAAATATGCATATTAGTCAAGTGAGCTGACAGTTATATTTAGGTGAACTCTGCCCGCCCCCAGCCCCTGGGAAGCAGAGGAAAGCACAGAATAAATTCTTTCTCTGTTATTCAGTTTTATGGAGCTCAACACTTTTCTTAGAATCAAGATGAAAACAAGATTGCACTGTTAGGAGATTCCTCTCCCCCACATGCTCAGATCACCTGTTCTTTCTGTATACTTTATCCCGTTCCCTAAACAAGTCCAGGACAATTTGATTCAATTCCCCCATCTCTGCTTCCTGCCTATTTCAGTGATACAAATTTTTCTTTTGGATCAATCTGAATCCTGTGATATCAAGCTTTGTGGTCTCTCTAGTGGTACTGGGAACCATATAATTCCATACGAATCCCTTGCCATGTCAGATTCCAAGGGTGCCTCGGGATATGAGTACATTTTTCAATGGCTTCATTATCTATGAACCACACTCCAGTGGCACTTTGAGACCAAAGGTCTTTGGTTATTATTATTGTCTTTTGGTTTTCTATTGTAATCTCTTTCTCTCTTTCCCTCCCAATACATGCTCTCACATTCTCTCCCTCCCTCCCAAAACAGCCCTCACTCTCTCATTTTTTGAGGGGGTTTCTCTGTCTAGCCTTGGCTGTTCTGGACTCACTTTTTGACCAGGATGGCCTCGAACTCACAGAGATCCACTTGCCCCTGACTCCATGTGCTGGGATCACAGGCATGTGCCACCACACCCATGATTTCTATCCTGAGTTACATATGTACTTGTATACTCCAAGTTTCTCCTGTGCTCATTTTACAATATTCTTATATTTCTAATAGTTCCTTTTCTTCAAAGTCTGATTTATTTTTGAGCTGAATTTTATTCTACTTATAAGCTAAATGATATGCATTAATGTCCAATTTTATTACTTTAAAAATTTTATTTTTGAGATTATACTATAATCACATCATTTCTCCCTTCCTTCCCTTTAAACACTCCCATAACCCTTGTTCTTTTTCAAATTCATGGTCCTCTTTTTCATTAATTAAAAAAAAAAAAAATTAGTGCCCAGATGCAGTGCAGATGTAATTCTTTACTCTTTTAAACTAAAGTTTCAGAGCTGTGTAAATACCCATGCTATATCAGAGTTTAATTTCTGCTTACATAGAGATCAGGGCACATGTACACATGACTACGCCCCAACACTTCATCAACACCCCGAGGAGTTCCATATAGGTGCTTCCTTTGGACGTATCAATTCACAGCAATCAGTCACCTGGCAAAAGACCCAAGGTGTGTGTGAAGGTGCACAGCCTCACTGGTCACCAGTGATCACTCGGTGTGGGGCTGCCAACCTTAACTGAACACGGCACACAGTGATGAACGCTGCTTACTTCATCTTCCCATAAGACTGAGAGTGTCTCAACTAGAAGAGTTGTCTTAAGAAGGGTTACACATAAACCAAACAACTCTTGGAGAGCTGCTTCTCCTGGCTAGATGCTTTGCTGTGTGGCAATCTTGTCAGTGAGGAGCAAACACAGGGAATGCCACCTTCGTGGTTGACACAGGTGGTCCTTGGGTTTGGTCTTGTGTCAACATAACAAATAAAAAATGTTTTCAGCTTACAGAAATAAACATACTAGAAGTCTAGTAAGGACTGCACTAATCGGGTTCATGAGGGGCTCATCCTGTGAAAGAAGAGGTTTTGTAAGTCACTTAATTCAAAAGGCGATAAAATACACTTTTTTCCCAAGAAGAAAGTTATCTTGTTTAATAATTTTTTTAGTCAAACAACAAATTCCACCTGCCCACTGGCAGCAGCCCCCCAGTCACCCTGCAGTCCACAACACACCATCTTCTCAGCCATCTGGGAACTTTCACCTTCTTCTACAAGTGCTCAATTTCCACTGCCAAGCTTTTGGGTAGATTCACTTTTCACTGGAAAAAACCACATAAACATACAGTCAGATGTTTATACTGCTCAGCCTGTTTTGTTTTCTCTTCAGTTCTCCTCCCTTCTGATGCATAGCAACAGCACTGCTCACAGGGACAGCCAAACCATGTCATGTTCCAGGCAGAGGACACACAATTCTGAACATAATAAATCCAGAAATGATACTTGAAAGCGGCAATTATATTTTGTGCGGTTCCATGCTTCCCGACTGTGGAAGAAATTGGGACCCGACCCCAGAGTTCAGTTATGATCACATACTCATGACACCAAATAGATTGCCATTAGTACACAGCCTGCCCACACGTGTGTTTTAAACTTAATTAATGATGAGTATGTGTGAATGAATGTGGGCGGACAGAAAACTGAGCACAAATGGAGCACCCCTGAAGCTTCTGCTATGCTGAGGGTGAGCAACACCCAACCGGACCATGAAGCCAGTCCTTCATGACCAAAACACAACCTCTCCTCCCTGGATCTGTGTCATAGGGTGTAGCATACTGAACCCTTTAACTGTATGTTACTCTTTCCTTATAGATCATGAAAATTAAAGTAAATAACACATTTAAAACACTTTAAAAATTGTTAACGTTAAAATATGGCTAGGGTCTGGAGAGATGGCCCAGGGTTAAGGGCACTCACTGTCCTTTCAGAGAATTAGGTATAGGTTTCCTATACCCAATACACATGGGGCAGGGACAGAGAAGCTCACAGCTGCCTGTCACTTCAGGCCTAGGGGACCAACATCCTCTTTTGGCTTTTGACAGCACTGTACGTGAGTGTGAGTATATGCACACAAGTACAAACTTACATAAAGCCAAATCATCGGGAAATAATAAAGCAGATTATTTTGCTTAAATTTTATACTGTTTGTCTCCATGAGGTAGAGAAGGAAGCTCAGAGAGTATGCACATAGGCTAGAAACATAAGCTTGGACGTCTATCTCACAATCCAACTGACCAGTTCCTTGGGGTTCACTGAGATCTACAGTTTTATTGCAACCAAAACGGCATTTGGTGAGTCTTTCTATGTGTAAGGCACCAAAATACTGCCACCTCAGGCAGTCTCCATTTTGGAAGCTTTATAAACTCCAGGAGAACGTTTCAAGTTCCTCTGAGATCCTACAAGTTAATGATTTTGTCCTCTGGCTTCCTCTGCAGGGGTTTGTCATGGCATCCACTGTACACATAGCTGTAGCTGTGCCTGGGCTCTGCACAACAAAAGGGAAAGAAAGCAAAGAGCGTTAAGGAAGGATGGGAGAGCAGGGTGAATCAAAGGATTTATTTTCCCAAGACAGTGACATGAAAGGTGCTCTGCCAGGTAACATCACTGATTATGATTTGAAGCTCCACAGCAACGAAGCACACAGGTCCTTGTCTTTGACTATTTTATAAAGCTGCCTAGCTGTCTCTTCACAGGGCTCTGTCCTTTTCTTTAAAAGACAGCACAGCCTGCTTTCTCAAGTCACGCCCATCTGCCACTGGGGTGTCAGCAGTGGAGGGCCTGTGTAGGCTCTGACACTGCTCTCCACAGGAGCCAGATGGTATGTGCATGGGCATGGTGGCCAGCACGTTTCCCTTCTGCCCAGCACTTGAGCTTTACAGTTAGCCCTTTTCATTTGTTAAAAGGAGAAGCAAATACCAGCAAACAAACAAATACCAAAACTCTTTGCCTATTAATATAGGCAGAGTTAATTATGGCAACCTCCAACCAACCAAACACTGTAATAGACATTAACTGTAGACTACATTTTCCAGAAACACATTTCCCCTGAAACAGAACTTGATTCTCAGGATAAAAATTCAACTTTTTTTCACCTTTGGAGAGAGTAAATTTTTCAGTGCTTTCCAAAGAAAACGCTCTGTTCACAGAGAACAGCACCCATCACGGAGCTACCTTGCAGAATATTCCTACAGGACTGCACAAAGGAACAGTGCTAAGGAAAATAAATGCATGTCTACAAGCCCTGCCTTTACTGTGAAGGGGGGTGCACTTAGGATGTGACAGCTTGGGCAGGATCCTTGAATTCTGTCAGATTCTCTTTGCAGCTGCAGCCCTAGACACTCGTTTACAGAGAAAGACGAGCTGGCTGTGTGTGTGTGTCTGTAAATAAGTCCAAAATAAAGTAGCAAATTCTTCTTGAGGTTGCAGTACAGGCTGACTGAATTAGCCTTTCTTACCGTTTCATCCCAGGAAGCCTTCCGTGCTTTAATGTGCTATTCCTACACACCATGAAAGAGGAGCTGTGTGTGCTCTGTTTGTTCACACAGCCCATGTTTGGCCTGGCTAGTAACTCACCCAACAACTTTCCCTGAAACCAACATTTAGAAGACTTAACACTATGTTAATCATGTTGAAGAGAAACATTTTACAAAATTTAAGAGAGTAAAAGTGAATACTTAAAACAGAAATTCCCAAATTGAGAAAACTGGCTATGCTCAAATTGTGGAAAAAAAAAAAAAAAGACTAGAATAAATACAAGGCTTACAGATTCATAATTTGCTATTAAAAATTCCACATCTACTAATTAGAATCTAGTTTCAAGATGTGGCACTGAAAAAATATCCTCAGAAAAATTTTGATTTATTTTATCCAAGAAAGAAAAAGATGGCATCCATATAAATGGAGAGCAGACCTTACAAACAGGCCACTGCCCGCTCAGCAACAAAGTGCAAACTAAACATGCTGAATAAAACTATTCAAACATACAGATCCACACAAGGGTCTGTGGAGTCTGCTGCAATACAGCCTGGCATGTATCCACTATTTCTCAGCTGACATGTTATCTAAGGGTTCTGAGTAATCACCTTCTAAGTAATTACTGAGCTTTCATCAAGCCCTAGTCTTCTGTAGTATGCAACACAACTGGGTACTTTCATCAACGGCTGACTGCAGGTAAGTGGTTTTTATAGACCAATCATTACACACCACTTCCAGTTCCAGCAGCCTCTCCTATGGCCAAAGAAACAAGAGGAGGAAATAACACTGTTGAGTTTAAAGAAGTAAGCAGAGAGGTGTGGTCACAGCAGCCCAAATTTTATTTTATTTTTAATTACTTATTTTTTCTGTGCACTAGTGTTGTCTGCATGAGGGTATCAGATCATTTGAAACAGGGTTATAGACAGCTGTGAGCTGCCACATGGGTGCTGGAAATTTAACTTGGGTCCTCCGGTCTCTCCAGACCCACAGCCTAGATTGTAAACACAAAGTTTCCTGCAGCAGCACCTTTGCTAGAAGGGAGAATATGAAACAGCAATTTCTCATTTCATGAATCTCCAGTTGAAAACTAGAGTATACAGTATTCAGTAAACTATAGCCTGGCAATTCTAATGAAGCCAAAATATCCTTCTCAGCAAGACACTTCGATTCACCCGTTCCAGTCAGCATTGTGAGGGTCACACTTTCTAGTGGGGTAGAAATGACACTCCCTTACTTGGTACTTTACAATACTAGCTGCTATACACAGTAAATTCTTCTATATCTATAAACACACTGGAGAAACACACATATGACATGTAGGAGCAGCCATATGACTGCTTGTCCCTCTGACAAGAGAAAAAACAAACTATGCTTACCTTGGTGAAGAATCTGCATGTCATTACTGGATCCTTTCAGTACCACGTGTAAAGTTGGATATTCAATGATCACTTTGTTCCTCAAATTGTCTAAAAGACTTTTGTAAGGATCTAGTTCATAGTATCTTAAGAGAAAAAAAAAAACCTTAAAATTTAAATTAATCTTAAATAAATATATCAAAGATTTTCTTATAAAGGTTTTAAAGGTAGTAAACATTAAATCAGTAGTTAGTTCCTTAATGTAAACTTAATGCCTTCTAAGAAACCAGGCAAAGTTTTAGAACGAATTGACAAGTATACTAGGGGCCTATAACCCAACACATGAGAAGATGAGGTGAGACAATCATGACTTTGGAGCCAGCAGAGGCTACACAGTGAGTTCTGGGTTACACCTGCCTAGGGAAACAAGTAACAGCAAACAATCACAATGCATACCAAGCACTGTGGTACATGCATCTAGGTTCTTAGGAGGCTGAAGCAGGAGGATGTTAAGTTTGAAGCTAGTCTAGGCAATGACTACAAGATGGTACATTCAGAAAAGGTCTACCAGATATTCGTACTTGGAAAAACCTAGACCAAGCTCCTCCTTTTCATATAGACTAAGAAATGAAGAGTTTTATATTCAATGCATCACGAACTTTCTTGGACAGATGAAATTCAAATTCCTCAAATCTATTTACTTTGAACTTTAAAAGAATAACTGGCTGCCAAACACTTTTGTACAAAGTCAATGCTACTCATAACCATTTTCCAGATGTTTACATTGCCATGCAATTACATTTGGTTTATATTCATTTTGGTACATTAATAGTTTTGGTTTCTGAATGCACTAAAGGTGAAAAAAAAATCTAAGAATTGTAGTTTATTGGTCATGGTATCATGACATAGCTGATAATATTCAACAGTTAATTCACAACACACAATAAGGAGTAAGACTGTTAAGTTCTTGAAAGATGAAGTGGACTAAAGGTGCATCCGCAAGTCTCTTTTGCTTGCTTTCTGGGCAGTGTGTCAGTCAGCTTGCACACTAATGGCGAGTGTAGGAAGGCACTGACATCTGGGTGTCATTTCAGGTTAAGGAGAAAGCACTAAGAAGAGGCTCACCAGCTACATTCTTCTTTACCAATGGCATTTGACACTCATAGCCTAGGCCACATGCACACGGCAGTCTGCTGGCTGCAATTCCACTGTTCCCTTTGCTCATGAAAGCACACTAGAAACAGAAGAGACTGCTTAACAACTTAACAGTGTTGGCTCTCTTTGCAGGGAACCTAGCACCCACGCTGAGTGGCTCACAACCACCTGTGCCTCCAGCTCCAGTGGGCCCCAACCTCTGGCCTCCACAGGCACCCACCACACTCACATGCACACACCTAAACAAATACACATAATTAAAATAATAAACATAAACCCTAAAAAAGCATGCTGGGGTGTGAAGGCACAGGAGCAAAGATGTCACCTGGATGTACTACAACCTGCTCTGACTCAGAGTAAATTGCTGGTACCTGTTAATTAACATCAAGATAATTGTATATGGAGTTATGAACTCTGATAACAGCAATTTCTCTATTCCAAGATGGCCTGTGCAACAGGAAATGGAAGTGCTTTAGAAACACAGAGCCAAACATACTATAGCACTCTTCCTCAGAGGATTGCAGTGAGAAAAGGAATGTAAAGGAGCCTATGTGTGAGCTTCTGTGACCATCACTCTTCTCTGAAATGGAGTATTTATTTTAGAATCACAGAGCATTAAAAAAAGCATGAAATGCAAAGTAACTGCACTTTCTGAAGCAGCATCTGCATTCACACACCATTCTTTCCCTGGTAACAGAAGACAGATGGGCAGAAAAGATTTCACAAGTGGGTCCAGAATACAAGGATCAAATGCTGCACATCTTTCAAACATTACTTCCCTTAAAAATAAACATGGGGCTTGGCTCAGTAGTTGTACTCATTGCTCTTGCAGAGGACCTGGGTTTCATTCCCAGAACCCTCACACAACTGTCTGTTACTGCCTTCCAGGTGATCTGATGCCCTTTTCTGAACCCTGCCAGTGCTGCATACCCATAAGTGCACTACACACATGCAGACAACACTCATTCATATGCATAAGCTAAAAATAAATTAAAAAGCAACTATGAGAATAAACCCCAGTGCTAGCTACACAAAGAAAAGCATGAGACTGTATCAGTTAGCGGAGCATAAAATTAATGCATAGTATATAACAATGCAATTGAACTTTCCTTAGGGAAACACCACCAGAGATCTCAGATAGGACTTTTCTTTTTGAGACAAGGTTTCCCTGTGTAATGGTCCTGGCTGTCCTGGACTTGCTTTGTAGACCAGGTTGACCTCGAACTCACAGAGATGCACCTGTGTCTGCCTCGTAAGTACTGGGATGAAAGGCATGCACTACCATGCCCTGCTTCAGACAGGACTTTTTAGGCAGCATGAGGTACACATTTGAAACAGCTTCTCTTCTACACGGTTAATCCTAACCACAAGCTTCCCTCTAAGGGACTTCACAAATGAAGTGACCATTCTACTGATCTCAAGTTTTTTTTCTGCATTTTATAGCATTCAGTCTGTACTTAGAGGCTCTAGATTGGTAAAAGCCACATGGGACTCAAACCCCAATATTATTGCTTGCTGACAGAGAATAAATAACACGCTCTCAGCAAAGGACTATTCACAGATATATACAAACCACAGGCATATAATAGACTGGATACCCAGATCTGTTCAGGTTATATTTGTTTGCCTCCAGTAGCCAATCTATGTCACATGCCAAGCAGGTATTATGGAAGACACAAGGACCCAAAGATTTTAGAGGCTTGTCCACTACACAACTGCATTAAAAACTTTTTTTTCCCAAACACGCAGAAAGCTGGGTTACTGACTGTTTTTTGTTTATATCTGTGTGCTGTGTGTGTTTGAGTGTACATCCCATGGAGCAGATGCCCTTGGAGGCCAGAGGAGGCTGTGAGTCTCCCAACTGAGAGCTACCAGTACCAGAGTCTGGTCCTCTGTAAGAGCAGCATGCTCTTCTTACTGCTGCCCCTGTTCCAGGGTCTTAGTTAGTATTTGGCCTGCCTGGTTACTAGCCTTCAACACCGGAACACTGCTGCTAAGGGCCAGTAAACATGCAGTTCAGGCTTTCCAGGCAGCTGACTGTGAAGTTCCTACTTCAGTGCAGATGCTCTCAGCTCAAAGTCTGAATTCCTCAGATTCTAGGACACCATTGTGTACCAGTGACTAAAAGTGCACCATGGAAGTCATTTTTAAAGAGGGCCTGTCAAATACATGCAGGGTTAACATTTTATGGACTTGGAATTTAGTTAAATGAAGTAGAAAGTCTAAATGGAGTTAAAGTTCTGCTCTGCCACTCAGTGGTCTATGATTCTGGATAAATTTTACTTATATTTGTTTATTTGGCATCTGTGTAATATGTGCATGTATGTGTGTGCACAAAGCCTTGGGGGGTCAGTCCTCACCTTCCACCTTGAGATACGGTCTCTTTGTTGCATACAACGTACTAGCTGGCCCCAGGGCATCGAGAAATCTTCCCTTCTCTGCTGCCCATCTTACTATTGAGAGCAATGCCCACTTTCCCGGGGTACCAGGGAGTCAAACTAAAGATGTTCATACTTGTGTAGCAAGCGCTCTGCCCGCCGAGCATCTCACAAGCCCATTTCACGCCTTTAATCCTGTTTCCTGCTTGAAAACAGGGGCGATGGTGCTTTTTTTTTTTTTTAAGGTTTATTTATTATACAGTGTTCTGCTTGCATGTATACCCACATGCCAGAAGAGGGCACCCAATCTCATTATAGATAGTTGTGAGCCACCATGTGATTGCTGGGAATTGAACTTCCAACATTTAGAAGAGCAGCCAGTGCTCTTAACCTCTGAGCCATCTCTCCAGTTGGTCCTTCTTCAGAGTTATGAGCGCTCAGTGACTAGCCTATATACAAGTCTTGGACACAGCTTTTCACTAGGTTACAATTACAGGACAAAGTCACTGAATTTCCTTAGTAAAAAAAGAACAGCACTCATGAAAGCATTTAGCACATTTTTGCCTTTTTGTGCATTTTGCCTAAAGTGTAAAAATATGACTTTTAGCACAACCCCCAAACCTCTGTTGTATTGTCATGTTTATTTTCAAGGGGCTAAAGTACTTAAAATAATTCTGTTTCCAACATCCCCAGGCAAGTCTTAAAAGTTCAGTTCTACCCAGACTCTTAAAACATTCAGGCTCAGCTCCTTTGTAAGCCATTAGGGTCACCAAATCCCAAAGGACACCTTTATCTTTCTGAAATTTCTGCAACTGTTACTTCCATTAGCATGACTCAGCTGCCAGAGGATAAACGACCAAAGTTTAGAAGACTCACAATCCTACATTTGCCTTTCCTCTCGCCCTCAGGGACGCCGCAGACATTTCTTCTTGCTTTACTGCTCAACCTCCCCTTGGAGGAGCTGATCCTGCTCCAAGCAGGGACAGGGCAGCAGGGCTCACTCAGTAGGCTCAACAGGTGTCACAGGGGCTGATGTTAAATAAGGTTCTGATCCCCAAGCATAACCTTGGCTCTGTTTCCATCTTTCAAAGAAATTAGCCAACTTCACCTTCTCTGTCTGTTCCAGAAAATTAGGGCAGCAGGCTTCTATTCTTCACACTCAAGAAGAGATTTAAGAAGAGGAGGGTCACATACGATGCTACATCTCATCCAGGTAGTGACATTCTAGATCACCGCTCTGACACTGCCTACGTATACGACAACCAAGCTCAACTTCTCCCAGACATAACAATTTAATAGTTGACTCAAGTCCACAGTATTTTTCCACTACAAAGTAAGTTCGCTGAATGAGGCAACCTCAGCTGTAAAACTCTCTTAAGTTTTGATACATATCTGCCAAAGGCAGGACATAACCTATGTTTTAGCAGGGTTGTATATATTTCTCAATCTAGGTTTCTGGGTTAAAAGTGCAACCAACTGATTCCAAAAGAACAAAATTGAACCTCTGACTTTTTTTTTTTTTTTGGGGGGGGGGGAATGCCCAAAAACTTAATATGGTATAAATCAGTTCATTGTTTTCTGGTGGTTAAATGTTTTTCAAATTATGGCTCATT